CCTCGTGCTTCTCTGCAGAGGAGCTGCTTTTACAACATTTGACACATTCATCTCCAAAAAAACCAGCAGAACGCAAAACAAGCACCAGCTGTAAAAAAGGCCGCGGGCAGGACGCACAGCGAGGGTCTGTTTGCTGTGTCCCTCTGCACGTTGGTTTGTAGCAGCTTTGGTCACACGTGGCATTTCCTATCACACCGAGAGGGGGAACCTGGAAATTACTAAAGCCAAGCTTGCTAAGAAGATAAACCATCACTTTTTCTTTAACTTAGCCTTCATCTGAAGGCAAAATATTTCAGTTTCTAACCTATCTGCTTCCCTCTCTTTTTTTCCTTTCAAAAAATGCTCAGAGATGCTCTCAGAAATTACTTTTTTTTGTCGCGAACATACCTCTGACAGAATGGTTATATTGACCACAACTTTCAGCCGCCAGACTAGCAAAGATTTAGAAAAAACACAGCACCTCCTTAGACACGCAGACTCGAGCTTTGATCTCGGTACTGATTTTTCTTCTGACTCTCCCTGTTCTCTCTTACAGGGCACAGCTCTCTCTCACGGCCCAAGTCTCTCTTGGTGTCCTCGCCTTCCACAAAGCTGCTCACGCTGGAGGAGGCGCAGGCACGGACACAAGCCCAGATCAACTCCCCCATCGTGGCAGACAGCAAATACATCGAAGTGGGAGAAGGCCCTGCAGCTTTACAGGGGAAATTCCACACGGTCATAGACTTCCCTTCAGAGAGGTAGAGATGAATTTCCTTTCCATTGATCATTAAACGTCTAAAAGCCACGTCGTACGTGATGCCTGTAGATGCCGGTGCTAGTCACACACACACAGTGTAAACGGGGTGAACATCTGGGTTTTCCAGATTTCAAGACCCGTAACAAATCCAAGTTCCTCTTCAGGTGGAGCAGTTGCACAAGACTTGACACCAGGAATTGAATACGGCAGTGGGAGGGGGTTAAATGGGATTTTAGGCCGTGAAAGGTGCTTTTGAGTAGTTTTTACAGGCTCACAGTTCCTCAGAGAACTGGTGCATCTGCCAGCTCAATAAAACCCGTCTCTCAGCTGCCGTCCTGTACAGCCATGGAGCCTTTGCTCACCTGCACTGCACCCACTTTGCGCAATTTGGTAGAATTTACCCAGCAGGGCTGAGCCCTGAGAATAAAAACATCTTCAGCTATTTAAGAGACCAAGTTTCTAAGCTCTTGTTTCGGCAGAAACCAGAGAGCGCCAACAACCAGCAGCAGGAACTAAACGCAGCTTCCCTCTCCAACAGTTTGTTCTGTTTTCTCACGCCAGGAAAAGGCCGCCCAGCAAGATGAAGAAATCGCCGGTTGGCAGCTGGCGTTCCTTCTTCAACCTGGGGAAATCATCGTCCGTGTCCAAACGCAAACTGCAGCGCAACCCCAGCGAGCCCTCAGAAATGAAAGCCATAGCCCTGGCAGGTAAGGGTGCAAATCCAGCTTCCCCCCCCAAAAAAAAAAGAGCTTTTCAGCAATGCAGCATTCACACGTGCTTTTATCTCCTTCTAGCGTTCAAGCCATGCATAACACCCTCACTTAACTCCTTGTGAAAGGCGCTGTGTGAGCACCGCTGACACAAGAGAATAGTCCCTTCTGACACTCGCATTACAAAATAAAAATACAGTTCTGGCTGCCTTTGCTGCTCTCAAAAGACAGTTCAGCTAGGTAACGGCACTTCTCTCCAAACACATTCACCCTGAAAGCTACGCCGGAGTGACCAGAGAAGGCATCCAACAACCTTTTGTAGCCAAGTCCAGTGTACAAGGACCGAATTCTCAGCCCTTTCCACATACAGTTTACTTCTCCTTCCACATTTAAAACTGACAACAACACGTGTTTGTGATAAAACACACTACAGACCCCTAAACCTGGGCTTGTTTTCTCCCTGGAGCCATTTTCAAGTTCTAACTCTCGTAGTCTTTAATATAATAAACCCATGATCTGAATGTCCTTTAACACGGTCTCCTTGGAGCACTGAGTTCATACTCGTGCTCACAAAACAAGTTGCGTAAACGTTACTTTCTTCCTCGTCTTTAAGGAAGAAGGTTTCCTTCACGAGCTTTGGAGTAAAAATACGCCCCAAAAAAACCCAACCTCAAAAAAAAAAAGCGCAACTGTTGCTCTCAGGACAGCAGCACTGTTGCTTGAAACCCATTTGTGTGTTTTCCTGCCACCCTTACGTCGCCAAATACAAAAACCCCTTTGGTAATTTAGCTTCTCACTGTCTCGGTTGCATCCCCCCAGGTGGACGAGGAGACAGCGGGACTCTTCGCTCAGCTAAAAGCGAAGAATCGCTCACCTCTCTGCACGCTGTTGATGGTAAGACCAAAACAAAACACAGAGGTGTGCTTTTAACATGTGCGCATTAAAAAGGCTGCTTGACATTACCCACTGCAGATATTCAACAGGGCAAATTTTCCAGCCCTTCAGTAAGAGCTGGACTTGTCAACTAATGAAGCAGCTTACTGCTGCCCAACACAGAGACGTGCTCTTCAATCTTTGTTTTCCTTCTAAGGAAAAAAGGAAAAAGCAAACCTCTGGTTTTTAGATAGCCAGCACCACTTAGGTTCATTCCTTGCCACCTCCCTTTCTATTCTAAGGTGGCAAAGATGGCATGGGGGAGGAAGACGCTTTCCGAGAAAGTCCGCAGCACCCCAAAAGCAGTTTTACTTGTGCACGGAGCTTGGTGTCAGGCTGCATCACACCTGACAACTGCTGTCAAAGGTGTTTGAGTAAGCATAGTGAGCAGTTACGGGTCACCACATTACTGTCGTGAGTTCACCAGGTGAGCATCTTGCACGCTGCCTTAAGACTACTCGAACCACCCAACTGCCACCTCCTGGACTGCAAGATTTTGAGGCTAACCTGTACGTATCTCCTCACTCCCAGGTGAATCTAAGCTGTTCCGACCCCGAAGACCTCGCTCCAGTAGCGACGCGTTGTCCGCTTCCTTCAACGGAGAGCTCTTAGGAAACATGAATCGCTGCAATTCTTACGACAACCTGCCCCACGACAACGACAGCGACGGGGACGAGGGGCTCATCCATGTTCCTGCCCTGATTTCTCCTCGATCTTCCGAAGACGTTGACCTGAGCCCACCCGATATCGGAGTCGCGAGCCTGGATTTCGACCCGATGTCTTTTCAGTGCAGTCCCCCCCAAGCCGAGTCCGAGTGCCTGGACAGCAGCACCTCCCTGATGGAGTCCGTCGGCGTCACTAAGGAGAAGCCAAGCCTGCTCAAGAAGGATTTAGAATCAGGCAGCCAGTCCCAGACACCAGGCAGTGCCACAAGCTCTGAGCCAGTCTCCCCTTTCCAAGAGAAGATGAGTCCTTTCTTTACTCTGGACCTGAGCCCAACCGAAGAGAAGGCTTGCAAACCCCACGCCTTCTCGCCCAAGGCGGGGCGAAAACCCGTCAAATCGCCGCCGCTGCCCGCGTCGGAACCCGTCTCCTTCGTGCTGCCCGGCGGCCGCGCGCCAGAAGCCGTCGGAGGGGTGCCCATCCCGCCCCGAAACTCCTCCGCTTCCAGCTGGAGCAAAGGCATCACTGAAATCCCAAACAGGTCCCCCACCCAGATGTCCTTGCCCCTGAAAAACAGTGACACAGGAGCAGGGGAAGGAGCCCACCAAGAGCTACAGCATGCCCAGCTAGTGGCTGGGGGGGAAGTTGCCAGAAGAAGGGGAGAGACCAATGTCAAGCAGTCAGAATAAGACTGTACCCACTGGACACACACAGCCAGGTACAGTGCATTTTCCTCCATTCTTTCTTTAAGTTCCAAAGGGGACCTGCTCTCAAAACCATCCTCCTCTGCGTGCCTTTTAGGAGAGGGGATTGCCCGTCAGTTCTGATCACAAGTGTCTTGCAGGGCTGTGCAGATCAGTAAGGTCTTAACCTCTGCCTTCTCCCTACATCACACGAATCTCAGATAATTTTTCCATAATGCTTTGCATACCACTTCTTTTTTTTCCTCCCTCCATCCTGTCATACGTGAAAATCTAGAGCATGTCCTCCTGAAATCCTTTCAGCCAATAGACCATCTAAGACTTTTCTAAATTAAAAAAAATAAATAAATCTGCTAAAACCTCATGATCAAAATTGCGTAAGGGTATCTCATTCTCTGCTACCTACCTTCCTACCTCTCTAGAAATGCAAGAGGAACCTTTAGATAATCTCTTGTGGTTTCTTCTTTTTTTTTTCCCCCCTTTTTGTGATGAACTGCTGTGCTGTTGAGCAGCGTTTGCATGTGAGACAGAAGATAAGAGTGTTTCACATCAGAAGGAATTGCCACTGTGAAAGTGTGGAAAGCATCTATTTTTTTATCATAGAGTCATTAAGGTTAGGTCACTCCTTATTGGGTAACATAAAATCACTCTCTCTCTCGATTTTCCCCCCATTAGGAGCAGTTGCCCTCGACTCCCCCCAGGATCCTGTTCCCGTCAGTTCTGTGTCTCTTATCCCTCCTCCTCCTCCGAAAAATGCAGCGCGCATGCTAGCCCTAGCGTTAGCCGAGTCCGCACAGCAAGCATCCGCTCAGTCTCAGAAAAGGCCAGGAGATGCTCATTCTGAAAGCACAAATTACGGAGAGGCTGAAGCTGGCACAGCTCTAGAAAAGCTCCATCTCTCCGCTGGTGCTCCAGACAAGCTCCACCCGTATACCGGGCTGCCCGAGAACCGACTTCACTTCCAGACCGGGGCACCGGTAGAGCAGGAATTCCAAGGTAGCGGCACACCCGGCGAGCAGAACCACCCGCCGGGCGCACCGGGGAACCGG